AAAAAATTTGCTAATTTTTCTACTTTTGTACATTTTTGAAAATTTCAATAATAAAATGCTCAAAGCACTGTCTCTGAGCTGGACTGTTGCATTAACAGGTCACCCTTCGTTTACTCTTGCCCCCTATGGTCTGTTCTCCCCACCACTGCTAGAACAATCAGTCTAAAAGGTAATTCTGATCACATTCCTCCTCTACTGAGAACCCTACCATGGTTCCCCGTTGCCCTCTGCATAAAAGCCAACATCCCCACAACAGCCTACAAGACCCTGTACCATCGGGTTCCTTATCCCCTCCTCTCCAACCGTGCTCCCCTCCCTCACTCTGCTCCAGCTATAATGACCTCCGTGCTGTTCCTCTAATGTGCCAGGACACCCCATTCATTCTCAGATCACAGAAACAGTATGAGGACGGGCAGATGTTGTTTTGCAAAATGAGCAAACAGGCACATGAGATAAGACATCTAGCTGCCAAACTATATTTGACTGAGCGCAGTCAAGTTTGGTGAACAGAAAATATCTCTGAACCAGAGGAGTCCCCGCACTAAGAGTATGGTCAGACCCTGCAGTGGAGGAGGGGGGAGGAGCAGAAACAGTCCAGCTCGCCGCCCAAGTAACCCAGGTCCTGAATCGGCCCGCCTCGGCCAGTGCTCCAGAAGCGCGCGCCAAGAACTGGCTGGGGCCCAAGAAGGGAAGGGAGCCAGAACGTCCGGGAGAGTCTCGGAGGCTGCGGAACGCCCTCTGATGGAACCCTGTCGTTGGGGAAAAGGACACACACACCTGTCAGCAGAATCCGTCAGACGTGAGAAGGGTGGGAGCGGCAGACTGTGAGCGCTGGTAGGGCCCCGGCGCTCCGAGAAAGTCTCAGTTCCGCGGTCGCCCTTCCCTTCTCCGCTGTCGAAATCACTGCTTCCGGCTTCCGGTGTCATAGCTGTGGGATCCGGAAGTACAAGCACAAGCTCCGCCCAAGAACACGAGAAGCCGGCGAGAGGTGTGAGGCCGCGGTAGGGCCGTATCCCGCTCCGGAGAGAAGTTTGAGTCCGCCAGGCTCTGCCAGCCCGCGAAAGCTCGGTAATGATACGCACGACCGCCACTTTGCGGGGCGTCACAGCCTACAGGCCCCCTTGTCTCTCGGACAGCGGCGCCTAGCCTCAGGACGCTCGGCCACCCCGCCCTCACCGGGGGAGGAGTCAACAAGACTGCCCAATAGGGCCGGCTTGACCCACGAACAAGCGAGGGTTCCCGGGGGAGCGGCCCTGCAGAAGGCCCCTCCCAGGAGCCGAGGGACAGCCCAGAGGAGGCGTGGCCACGCTGCCGGCGGAAGTGGAGACCTCCGCGAGCCCGCGGGGCCGCCGGGCATGCCGGAAAAACGGACAATGGGGATGGGGCCGGGCCGGCGATGGGGACGCAGTAGCATTGCGCGGAGCTGCACCCGCGCCCGCCTAGACAACGGGGATGGGGGGGGGCCTCGGCAGCAGGGACCGCAGGCCGCCAGCAGGCCGGCCTCCAGCGCAGGTGCCCGAGGGGCGGGGCTGGCCTGGGATGCGCGCGCACCTGCCCTCGCCCCGCCCGCACGAGGGGTGGCAGCCGAGGCCCCGCCCCGCGCGCCTGGCCTGAGGCGGGTCGGCTCAGCCTAGGCGCCCGCCCTCGCCCCACTGATTAATTGGGCCGGCGGGGCTCAGCCCCCGGAAACGGCCGTGTACTTCGGGGCTGCGAGCGCGGAGGGCGGCGGCGACTAAACTCAGGTAACTGGGCTGACGGGCGAGCGCCGCGCTGGCTAAGGGGCGTACTGCTCTGCGCTGCGCTGCGCAGCGATAAAATGCGCGATGTTTGCCGTGCTTGAGAACCGAGCAGAATCGAGAGGATCTTAACCGATCCCTTTATACCCCGTACCTCCTCTCTTGGGCCCCTGAGGATCCTGAGACTCCGAAAGGGAAGGGGACTTGCCGGCCGGGGTCACCCAGCTTGGCAAGGGGAGGGCAGGAGCTGAACTCCAGCATCTGCACCATCTAACACGCTCCAGGTCATTGTGGCGTTCCCGCTACAGTCGAGAGTGAGATGGTCCTGGGCATGTAGTTCCATGTCCCACAAGGATTTTACTCGGTTGCCCAGAATTGATGCTCTAGCTGGAATCCACCAATGCTTTGGGTAATTTTGGAAAATACACGCTGAATGAAGGTTGCCTGGGAGAGTGTGGCTGGAGCCCAGAACCAGCAGTTTCTAACCCATCACCCACTCCCCAACGCCCAGCCGTTCACAAGGAGTAGTTTTGGTAATCAGGCTTCACCCCGGTGAGACGCCAGAGGAACTCTCAAGAAAGGGGCTAACTTCTCAGTGCTCTTGTGTTTTGCCTTGTTAACGAGCCTTTCTTCCACCAGACAGCGTTATGGCAGAGCAGGTGGCACTTAGCCGGACCCAGGTGTGCGGGATCCTGCGGGAAGAGCTGTTCCAGGGCGATGCCTTCCATCAGTCGGATACACACATATTCATCATCATGGGTGCATCGGTGAGTCTCTCCCAGGACCCAATCCTAAAAGCCAGGAAGTGCCTGCTCCATGCCTCAGCTTTTCTCACTAATTGTTGTAGGGCCGCATAGGCTCTGCTAGATTGAGCTCCACCTCCTGCTCCTGCTAGCGCCAGGATCATCCGGCACTACCTGATGTGCATGCACTTGCAAGACATTTCTTTTTTTTCTGGAGATGGAGTTTCACTGTGTCTCCCAGGCTGAAGTGCAATGGCGTGATTTTGGCTCACTGCAACCTCTGCCTCCTGGGTTTAAGCGGTTTTCCTGCCTCAGCCCCCCTCCAAGTGGCTGAGATTACAGGCATGCACCACCACATCCGCCTAATTTTTGTATTATTAGGAGAGACGGGTTTCACCGTGTTGGCCAGGCTGGTCTCAAACTCCTGATCTCAGGTGAAGTGCTGGGATTACAGGCCTGAGCCACTGCACCCCGCCGCAAGACATTTCTGAAACCTGTGCCTAGCCACTGAATGTAGTCCTTAGTCCTGGAGTTGCAAGGTCTCTAGGGACTGTCTAGTTGGACTTCTTGGGGAAAACAGGGACTGCTGTTCATTCTGTGGTTTTTCCAAACCTGTTCATGCCTTAGCAAATGAGTTCCAAAGGCAGGATCTGAGGCTCAATCTCTGCCTCTTCGCTCTCTAAGACTTCAAGTTCCCTGGAGACAAACACTCAGCCTTTCTTTGAACACTGGCTCTTTGCCTCAATTTGCAAAGCCTACCAAGGAGCTCTGCTTCACCCCACCTGGCCCCAATTGTCCAGCTTGTGGAACTGCCATTTTGTACTCATAGGAAAGACCAAACGATAGTATAGCATGAGGATTTACATGGGAGGGGAGGCAGGAGAGGAAGGGGCGGTTCTAACAGAGCCATCGCCCAGACTGGAGCACCCTCCCCTGTGTCCCATGGGGCAGTGAGACTGTGCAGGGGCTGATGGAACAAGAGCTTCATCTCAAATTACACATGGTCTCAGTTTTCACTTTTAATCCTGGATGCACTCAATCTGCTCACTACCATATGACCATCTTTGCCATTAATTTACCTTGTAACCAGGCCGGGCATGATGGCTCACGCCTGTAATCCCAGCACTTTGGGAGGATCACTCGAGGTCAAGAGTTCAAGACCAGCCTGGTCAACACAGTGAAAACCCATCTCTACTAAAAATACAAAAAAATAGCTGGGCATGGTGGCAGGCACCTATAATCCCTGCTACTCAGGAGGCTGAGGCAGAGGTTTCGCCATGAGCCAAGATCTCACCATTCCACTCCAGTCTGGGTGACAAGCACAAAACTCCGGCTCAAAAAAAAAAAAACCTTATAACCTTAAGCATTAGCTCTTTCAAAATTAATTAGCTCTTCCTCATCATGCGTCCCTGAGCGCTGGATGAGCTTAGTGGTTCTTTGTTCACGTACAACACACTGTCACACTTTGCAAACCTACTCCTTGACACCCTTGTATTTCTGATCACAACTTAGAAAAGGAGAGCCAAAAGGAATGAGGAGGCAGCCGAGGGAGGAGTAAGGAAGGGCCACCCCAAGCACTGTCCTCTGACTCCACATATGCCTGAGACCCAGGAGAGGTACCCAGGTGGAGCCCACAGTGGATTGGGCTTGCCCTCAGCCCCAGCCTAGTCCCCTCAGAATAGCCATACCTAGCCAGGCCCCGTGACTCACCCCTGTAGTTCCAACACTTTGGGAGACCGAGGTGGGCAGATCACCTGAGGTCAGGAGTTTGAGACTAACCTGATCAGCATGGCAAAACCCCATCTCTACTAAAAATAGAAAAATTAGCCGGGCATGGTGGCGCCTGCCTGTAATCCCAGCTACTCAGGAAGCTGAGGCAGGAGAATTGCTTGAACATGGGAGGCAGAGGTTGCAGTGAGCCAAGATCGCACCACTGTCCTCCAGCCTGTGCAACAGAGTGAACAAGACTCCATGTCAAAAAAAATTAAAAGAGCCATACCTGCATCAGTCACAAACCTTACCACCTAGGACTCTGACCATTAAGCCCTTCTCTGGAGGAGAAGGTAACTGGGGATGCTTTCTCCTTTCCCCGTCTCCACCCCATGCTGTCACAAGGACACTGCAACACAGCAGCCCAGGCCACAATGATGGCTTATGACTCCAGGCCTTCAGCTCTCATTAGACACCTCACTGAGCATCCAAGCTTACTGTGTGACTTGGAGCAAGTGTTTTCCTTTCTCTGACTGTCAGCATTTCATGTAGCAAATGACAGCTTTTGAAACGAATGCCCAGGGTCCTTAGGCTTTCCCAAGCTGATTGTGTCATTTCCCTGTCTTCACCTGTGGCCAGCTTGGGATTGGGCAACTTTGTTTCGTTGAAATCAGTAGGGTTCCCCTTTGCTCTCCTCTGCTCTGAGAGTGACAACCAGAGGCTTTCAAAGCAGAAATAGAAAGTGCCAGCTCCAGCACTGTGGGCAGAAGACAAGGGGCCCTCTCTCTGAAGGGCCTTGTGGTTGATTTCTTCCTCTTCCTGCTGCGGGTGGGGGTGGTGTGCTCAGGCAGCACCTGGAGCAGCTCCCACTCCCAGGCTCCTTCTGTGCCTGATGCCTCACTCAATGCGGGAGGTACACAGGGTGGCGCTTGGGGGCACACAATCCTAGAATCTGCTGCTCCAGGAAAATAGCCCATTTTCCATTCATTCAGCAGAGAGTGATCGGGCACTTCTGGGCAACAGCAGCCAGTCCCTGCCCTCCTCATGGGACCTATGTGCTGTGGTGGCCAGGGAACCACAGCAAGTAAGCAGACCAGCAAGAGCTCAGGCTGGCATGTGTTTCAGAAGATACATGTGGGCCCTGTGTTCTCAGCCCCCCAGAGCACATAGATCCCACAAGGAGTGCCTAGAGAGCAAGCCTGCCGGGGCACCCACACAAAAGGAAGAGCAAATGCCCAAAGTCCCGAGTTGGGAACTAGCTCAGCGTGACCTAGAAACTGCAAGCAGGCAAGTGGCTGGCAGACCCACAGCCAGGCAAGCGGGACACCCTGGGGCAGGCTGGACCCACGTGGCCTTCCTCTGTCCCTTCCTCCTCCTGGCCAGCTTACCCAACGCTTGCCCACACACCCAGCTTCCTTCCTGGGGGCCCTGATGATGGCTCAGAGTTACCAAGTGGGCCACTTCCCACCTTCTCAGGACTCCCACCCCTACCAGAAAGGGAGCCGATGTACTCACTGCCCTCTTCCAGAATGCTCTGGCCTTGCAGACCAGCGTGTGCCTGGAACAGCATATTTCCCCACCTGATGGGAACTCGATGAGGCTAGAGAGCCTCACAGGGAGTGAGGGGAAGAGACTGGGACCGAGAGTCTACGGGGTCCTCACCTCTCTGGGCCTCAGTTTCCCCACCTGGATCACAAGGGCCATGGGCTTGCTGGGCATTCAGGACACATCCTGATGATGGGCCCGTGCAAGGGATGACCCAGTGGCCCCTACCCCTCCCTTTCCTCAGAACATTTCTGGGCTGACTTCTCTGTTGGTCTGACAAGATTCTTGCTGTGTCATGATGATGTTGGCACTCTCCCAAAGCCCCGGTGACTCATGAGCCCCTGGGTTTAGGAGGGAGGCCCTTTTGTTGGTTTTTCAGCTGAGCTAACTCAGCAGCCCCCAGGTTCTCTGGCCCCATTGGCCAGGAACCAACTGGGCCCCTGCCAAGGCCCAGGGCTCCACCCAGGGAGTCTGGGCAGGTCCTTGACCCTAGCAACCCTTGGGGATGGGATGGCCCACCCCTGCTGGCCCTCCAGCAGGCATCGCCCTCTACCGTGAAACCCTCATACCAAGACAAGAGCTGTAGCGATTTGGGTTTATAAAACAGGTCATGGCCTAGGTCCCTTTGCCCTGGCCTAGCCAGACATTGGTGGCTGGAGATCTTAATCGTGTCCTGCTTCTACTAAGACACCCTGTGTCCTTGAGAAGGCCCCTCCCCTGCTGTGGTCCTCAGGAAAGAGGAGGGCATAAGGAAAATGAGAAGCTCCCAATTGCTTCTCACTAAGGACCCCTTGAATTGCCCTCACCCACACGGCAGGAGTAGACTCTTGACTAAGCTGTCAGGTTTTCCCATCTCTTCCTGTGCTTGTCCCTCCAGAAAGTCCCACTAGAGTGCTGCAGCCAGCTGGGAGGGCAGGGCTAGCCCTGAGCCCTGAGGAGAGCAGCTCAGTCTGGCTCTGCTCGGCTCAGCTCAGCTTAGTTCTCCGTCACCATGGGAGGGAGCTGCCTGGCCTTCCCCCACCCACGCCATCCTCCGTCTTACCTCACCTCACCTCTCAGGTGACTCGGAGCCCAACCGACAGTTGGTTGTAGGGGCTGAGCTGGAACAAGGCGAACAGGTTCAATCTCCAGTTAATCCCAAAGGAAGCAGCAGGAACAAACAGCCTGGAGCGTGGGGCCGCTGTGACTCAGCAGACCAGTCTCCTGCCACCAGTGACTTCCTGGAGTCTGTCCCGATGCCTCCTGATCTACCAGAATTTGGTCATGAGCAAACATGACCTGCTTTGAGTGAGGCTTAGAGATATTTGCAGGCTGTGGTTATTACCGTTTCATTCAGGGGCAAGTTAGTTCCCAGCAAGCTGGCCTTTTCTGTGTGCGGGGCCAACCCTGAGTTGATATGACGTGGCCAGTGTTCTGCTCCCCAGTCCCACTGATGGCAGGGTGCTGTGAGGAATGGAGTGGAGGAGCTCCTACCCCAGGGTGAGGGGTCGTCTGAGCTAGACTTGGAAGGATGCAGAAGCAAGAGGTCCTTGTGGCTTCAGGGAGCAGCAAGTCGCACGCTAGGAGAGCTGCATTGGGCATCATGTTGGGTAGCGATGGGTGAGAAGGTCTCATGGGCGGTCCAAGCCCAGCTGGTGGCAGGGCTGGAACTTTATTTCCAAGATGGTCACTTCAGCATCTGGGGGGCAAGGAGACCATTTATAAAGCTTTCATGTGGCAGTTACAAGAGAGCTGTACTCCAGAGTGCTCAAGAGAGAGATGGCAAGTGGCTAGCAGACATGGGCCAGAGTGGAGGGAACCAGCCCCCAGATACCAACACAGGCAACCCTGGTTTGGGAACAGCCCACTGTGGGGATGCTGGGGTCCCAGTGCAGCTGGGAAGAAACTCGGGAGCAGTCTGCCTGCAGCTCCCACCTGAAGCCCCACACCAAACTCACCCAAGTAGGGGCAGAAGCAGAGCACACAAGGCATGCACACCATAGCGATTTCCTACCTGGAAGCCCCCGGTGGCTTCCTAACTGCCTGTCTCTGGGTGGGGGCATGTGTCCTGGTGGCATGGCCTCCGTTCTATAATGGTTCATAGAAACGGACCCATCCATGGTTGCAGTGTCTGATCGCTTTGAAGAGCATGTCTTGTTTTCATCTATGTGTGTGAGATGGAGTCTCACTCTGTCACCCAGGCTGGAGTGCAGTGGCGTGGTCTTGGCTCACCACAACCTCTGCCTCCCGGGTTCAAGTGATTCACCTGCCTCAGCCTCCTGAGTAGCTGGGACTACAGGCACGCACCACCATGCCCAGCTAATTTTTTGTATTTTTAGTAGAGATGGGGTTTCACCACATTGGCCAGGGTTGCCTCGATCTCTTGACCTCGTGATCCGCCTGTCCTGGTCTTCCAAAGTGCTGGGATTACAGGCATGAGCCATAATGCCCAGACTGTCTATTAGTTTTTACCATGTTTTATTGAAATATATGTCATGCCCAGGTGCAGTGGCTCACACCTGTAATCCCAGCCCTTTGGGAGGCCAAGGCAGGCAGATCACCTGAGGTCAGAAGTTTGAGACCAGCCTGGCTAACATGGGGAAACCCATCTCTACTAAAAATACAATAATTACTCAGGCACGGTGGCAGATTCCTGTAGTCCCAGCTACTCAGGAGGCTAAGGCAGGAGAATTGCTTGAACCCAGGAGGTGGAGATTGCAGTGAGCCAAGATTGCGCCAGTGCACTCCAGCCTGGGTGACAGAGCGAGACTCCCTCTCAAAAAAAGAAATCTATGTCATGAAGAACACGGATGGTGCAGGTCTAGCTCAGTGACTCTTCACAAACTCAGCAGAGCCACAGAAGCTGCTCCTAGATCAAGAAACAATATGCTCTGCACCAAGGAAGCCTGCTCATAGTTGCTGGCCCCCAAAGGGTCATTTCTGACCCACTCCCCACCCTCCACTCCATTGTTCATTCTCTCGCTGTCTTTTGTTGGTACGCATAGCAGTGCACAAATCTTAACTGTACAATTGGCTATGCACCCTCATCACAATAAAGGCCATTATCATCTCCCCAGAAAGTTCCTCGGTGCCCATTTCCAGCCAGTCTACCCCCTGCTCCAGGCAACCGCTGGTCTGATTTCTGTCACAGTGGGTTGGTTTTGCCTATTCCAGAACTCCATGAGAGGGAGCTTGTAGAGGATTGCACCTCTGCTACTGAGGTTTCCCAGTGTTGCTGAGTAGTGTCGTCGTTTGAATGCATAGTTTGCAGGTTCGCATGTTAATTCAAGTGTTTGACTTGTTTCCAGTTTGGGGCCATTCATGTCCAAGACTTTGTGTGGACATCCACTTTCATTTCTCTTGGGTACTACCTAGGAGTAGAAAGGCTGGGTCGCATGATAGGCATGTGCTTCTCTTGATCAGAGGCTTCCAGACTGTGTGGGAGCGCCTGGACCATCTCACAGCTCAAACTTACGCCACTTTCATTTTCTTGCCCTACTGCACTTCTCTTGTGCCTGATTGCTTAAAGGAATTATGAACATTTCCACATTTCCCATAAGTATGATATTTGTAGTGTTTGCAAGGATGATGGTTTGGGGTTGGGTTTGGTTTGTTTTGTTTTGTTTTATTTTTGAGACAAAGTCTAGCTTTGTTGCCCAGGCTAGAGTGGCGCAATCTCGGCTCACTGCAGCCTCCACCTCCTGGGTTCAGGCGATTCTCCTGCCTCAGCCTTCTGAGTAGCTGTGATTACAGGCACGTACCACCGCCCCCAGATAATTTTTATATTTTTAGTAGACATGGGGTTTCACCAGGTTGGCCACGCTAGTTTTAAACTCCTGACCTTGAGTGATCTGCCCACCTCGGCCTCCCAAAGTGCTGGCATGACAGGCGTGAGCCACCTCACCCGGCCAGGATGGTGTTTAATAGATGCTCTTTATCAGGTTAAGGAAGTTCCCTTATATTCGTCCTGTAATAAGAGTTTTATCATGAGTAGGTAATTTCTGAAACACTTCATCTATATCTGTTGGATTGAGCAAGATTGCTAGATTTAAAATATCAAAACATAGCAGTACGCAGAGATTTCTTAGGTTTTTTTTCTTTAATCTCTTCATATGGTGAATTTCAGTGATTGATTTTTTCCTGTTATATCAAACCCACTTTTTATTTGCAGAATAAACTCAACTTGCTACCAGTGTGTTACTGTTTTGAACACTGCAGGATTTGGTTTGCGGCTGTTTACTTTCTTTTTTTAAAAGAGACACGGTCTCCCTCTGTCACCCAGGCTGGAGTGCAGTGGTGCAACAGTGACTCACCAACACCTCGATTCCTGGGCTCAGCTCCTGGGAGGATCCTGGATTCCTCCCACCTCAGCCTCCCGAGTACCGGGACCACCAGCACGTACCACACGCCCAGCTTCATTTTTTACTTTTATTTTTGTAGAGTTGGGGTCTCACTATGTTGCCCAGGCTCGTTTCAAACTCCTGGGTTGGGGCTGGGCATGTGGCTCTCGCCTGTTATCCCAACACTTTGGGAGTCTGAGGCGGGCAGGTCACTTGAGCCCAAGAGTTCAAGACCAGCCTGGGCAACATGGGAAAACCCTGTCTCTACAAAAAATTAGCTGGGTGTGGTGTCTTGTACCTGTAATCCCAGATACTCAGAAGGCTGAGGTGGGAGAATTGCTTAAGCCCAGTAGGCAGAGGTTGCAGTGAACTGAGATCATGCCACTGCACTCCAGCCTGGGTGACAGTGAGACCGCATCTCAAAAAAATAAAAACCTCCTGGGTTCAAGCAGTCCTCCCACCTTGGTCTCCCAAACTGCTGGGATGTGTGAACTGTGGCTGGCCTGCTGATGTTTCCTGTGGGATTTCTGCATCTGCATGTGTGTGTGAATGAGGCTGATGGGTTTTCCCATGTGCCTTTCTCATCAGGTTTCGGTACCAAGGCTCTGCAGGTCCTATAAGGTGGCTTGGGAAGTGTTCTCCTTTCTTCATTCTGCAGGAAGAGTTTGGTTCAGGCTGGGATTCTCTTTTCCTTGCATTTTGACTCTCTGTGCCAGGAGGTTCAGGAGGTTGTCTCTGTGGGATCCCTTGCCTTTTCTTTTTATTTCTTTTGCATGGAGTTTTGCTCTGTTACCCAGGCTAGACTGCAGTGCTGCGATCTCGGCTCACTGCAACCTCTGCCTCCCAGATTCAAGCGATCTCTCCTGCCTCAGCCTCCAGAGTACCTGGGATTACAGGCGCCCACCACCTCACCTGGCTGATTTTTGTACTTCAGTAAAGATGGGGTTTCGCCATGGTGACCAGTCTGGTCTTGAACTCCTGACCTTAGGTGATCCGCTTGCCTTGGCCTCCCAAAGTGCTGGGATTACAGGCGTGAGCCACAGCACCCAGCCCCATTGCTCTGTTTGAGTAGGTTAGATTTTTCTATAAATTTGTCCATCTCATCTAGGTTGTCAGGCGTGGAATAAAGTTCATAAAACCCTCTCCTGTGTCCTGTCTGGGACTTTGTCCGATTGTCCCAATTATTTGTGCTCTTTTTAAAAAGCAGCCATGCCAGAGGGTTGTTTTTTTCTATCAGTCTTTTTCAAACACTACCAGCTTCCAGCTCTGTTAATATTTTCTTTGGGTTAGCTTTTCATTTTATTAATTTTACTTGTGATTATTTTCTTCCTTGTAATTCGGCTTACCGTTCTATCCCTTTTCTCGCTTCTTTTTTTTTTTAAGGCAGAGTCTCGCTCTTGTCACCCAGGCTGGAGTTCAGTGGTGCCAGGCATGGCTAATGTTTGTATTTTTAGTAGAGACGCGGTTTCACCATGTTGACCAGGCTGGTCTTGAACTCCTGACCTCAGGTGATACGCCTGCCTCAGCCTCCCAAAGTGCTGGGATTACAGGCGTGAGCCACTGCAGCCCTTTTTCTCACCTCTTAAGCGGAATGCTTATCTCCTTATTTTTGAGCCAGTCTTTTTGCTAACGTAAGCATTTGAGGTCACGTCTCACAAATTTGGCTACGTGGTACTTCCGTCATCCCTCAGTTCTACTGAATCGAATTTTCAGGTTTTCTTCTGGAATGCAGGAGACGCGTTTCTGTGTTCCAGGTCAGGGGGAGGGTGGGCACAGGCTTGAATCTTGGGGCTCCTCTGTGTGTATATCAGGGCAAGACAGATATGCTTGTGGCCGGGTAGTGATCCTGCATAGTGCCCAGATTACCAAGGGTGGCGGATGATGTACGTCATGTCCCCAGCCACGTCTAACCACACACCTGTTCCCTCTGCCACAGGGTGACCTGGCCAAGAAGAAGATCTACCCCACCATCTGGTAAGCATGTCCCCCCGCTGCCCCTGTGACCTCCCACCAGGGACTGGCCTGGCCCGGTCCTGCCCTGCCCTGCCCTGCCCGCCCTGGTTACGGCTGTGCTCTGCCCGCAGGTGGCTGTTCCGGGATGGACTTCTCCCCGAAAACACCTTCATCGTGGGCTATGCCCGCTCCCGCCTCACAGTGGCTGACATCCGCAAGCAGAGTGAGCCCTTCTTCAAGGTGGGTGGCATCAGGGCCTCCCCTCTCCACCAGTGTCGGGTGGCCACCAGGGGACCTCCCCCCATCCCATCCTGGGATGCTCTCCCCCCTCCTGACCCACCTGGCTCTCACACTCCCTTGAGACCCCCATGACCAGCCCTCTGTGACCAAGACTCACGGGTCCCATCCTGCTGTGCTCTGCTGCATTTTCTCATGATTTGGGGAGAGCGCTTTCTCCAGTGTACTCCCAGGTCAAAGTGTCACAAAATCTGGCCTCCGTCTTAAGGCACAAGGTCCCCAGCCTGGGGCAGTGTCTGTGCTGCCTGCCTTAGCTTCCCTCACTCTGGATGTGCAAAGCTGCTGAGATGGAGCTGATCCCAGCGTGGGACTGGGACACTTACTTCTGAGGGTGCCCTTCCTGGGCCTCCAGGGAAGACCCCTGGGGCAGAACAGACATGGACTCTAAGAGAGGGGCCGATGTCTGTCTGTCCGTCTGTATCTCCCAGGCCACCCCAGAGGAGAAGCTCAAGTTAGAAGACTTCTTCGCCCGCAACTCTTATGTGTCCGGCCAGTATGATGATGCAGCCTCCTACCAGCGCCTCAGTAGCCACATGAATGCCCTCCACCAGGGGTCACAGGCCAACCGCCTCTTCTACCTGGCCTTGCCCCCAACTGTCTACGAGGCTGTCACCAAGAACATCCACGAATTCTGCATGAGCCAGACGTAAGGCTTGCCCTTGCCCTCACCCTCCCTTCCCTTCTGGGCTGGGCCAGGCAGTGCTCCCCACCGCTCTAAAGAGCACCCCTGTGCCCGAGATCTGGGCAGTGCATCCATCCCCTGCTGCATCCGTGGCGCTGGGGCCATCCCCACCAAGAACACAAGGTGGCAGCATTGCTCCACAAAACACTCGCTGCCTGCCCCCTCCGCTTTTCCGGCGGCCTGGCCAGGCCACTAGGTGGTAGCCTCGCTCCACAAGTGCAGGATGGCCCGCGCTGGGTGGTTTCCCAACCCAGGCAGAGGCTCTAGTCCTCTGGCTGGCTTTGAATGCAGAATGCCATGGGAATGTTCTGCAGGGGCTCTTTTCCCATTTTCAAACCAATGAGGAAGCTATGCCCCGGACACCTCCCTCTGCTCCCCTACGAGCCACCAGGCCACTCCAATCCACTGGGGGACCCAGCGTGTGGCAGTAGGGGAATGGGCTCCCTGGAGCATGCCAGCAGTGCCACCCTGGCACCCAGGGTGGGAAGGATTCCTGGAGATGTTGAGCCATGGGGTCGTCTGGGAACGCAAGGCAGGGGAGGTGGCCATGGGGCTGAGGAGGTTCTGGCCACTACTCTCCAGGGAGGGTGTTAGGGTGATGCAGCTCGGGGCTCCCAGCAGAGGCTGGAACCGCATCATCGTGGAGAAGCCTTTCGGGAGGGACCTGCAGAGCTCCGACCGCCTGTCCAACCACATCTCCTCCCTGTTCCGCGAGGACCAGATCTATCGCATCGACCACTACCTGGGCAAGGAGATGGTGCAGAACCTCATGGTGCTGAGGTGCGGCCGAGCCCTGGCTGGGGGACCAGGGCGGGGGTGGTGCTCAGGAGCCTCGCTTGGCTGCTGCCTCCCCGAGGACGAATTTCTCCAGAACTCGGGCAAGGGTGATCTCTTCCACGTGGCCCCTGCACCGCAGAGGCCTGAGGGCGGTTCCACCACCTTGCCCCTCCCTGCAGATTTGCCAACAGGATCTTCGGCCCCATCTGGAATCGGGACAACATCGCCTGTGTGATCCTCACCTTCAAGGAGCCGTTCGGCACTGAGGGCCGTGGGGGCTATTTCGATGAATTTGGGATCATCCGGTGAGAGCCCTTCGCTTCCCTGTCTTGGGGGAGCGCCTCCTCACCCTGCAGTTCCAAACCCGAGTGTCTGAGCTGTTAGAGGATGCTGGAAAGGGCGGGACCTCCGCACAGCCAAGCACCCCAGGGTTTCATGATTTACTGACAGTGTCACCATGTCCTACCTTGATTTAAGGGGACCTGGAAGACAAGGGGGACCAGGAAATGAGTCTTGCGGCTTGTCACTAGGAAGCCTTGTTTGGGGCCCCCAGGCCCTGGAACCAGGTCAACAGGGTGGGGAGCTGAGGTGAACCTGGAAGCTGTGCCCAACCAGAGCTCTGGCATCTTCTTTCCCCAGGGACGTGATGCAGAACCACCTCCTGCAGATGCTGTGTCTGGTGGCCATGGAGAAGCCCGCCTCTACCAACTCTGATGACGTCCGTGATGAGAAGGTGGGGGGTGGGACACCCTGGTCCCTGGGACCATGCTCCGTCATGGGCCCATCTGTGATGCACTGAGCAACAGCGCACATGCAGAGCAGGTGTCCTCATCCCCAGAGAAGCCACCATCTTTGAGCACAGCGTGGCCTCCCGGGGGTGACCTGGACTGGGAGTCATGAACCCCAGGTTGTCGTGTCCAAGGTCTGAGAGTCTATATGGGACCAGGTCAGGCCATTGCATCTCTGGGCCTCAGCTTTTCCATCAGAATAGACTTGAGATGGACCAAGGTTGTCCTGGAGGACCCTCAGGGAGGTGCCTGGAGCTGGGCCTCCAGCACAGTGAGCAGAGCTGAGCAGGGCCCTCCTCTTTCCCTGTGGGCTGCCCGTCAATGGCCGCAGTCACCCCCTGAACCGCAGCTCCACACCCATGTGGCCTGTTCTTCCCCCCCCCCCCCCCCCCCCCGCTTTCTCTCAGGTCAAGGTGTTGAAATGTATCTCGGAGGTACAGGCCGGCAATGTGGTCCTGGGCCAGTACGTGGGGAACCCTGATGGAGAGGGCGAGGCCACCAAAGGCTACCTAGACGACCCCACGGTGCCCCGTGGGTCCACCACTGCCACCTTTGCAGCTGTCGTGCTCTATGTGGAGAACGAAAGGTGGGATGGTAGGTGGCACCTTCAAGACCCAGCAAGGTGGAAGCGGGCATGCCCTCGGGAGGCCCTTCTCGCTGGGGACGGACTCGCTGCTGGCCAGGGGAGGCCTGGCCTTGTGGGACATGGCATCCCTGCTACAGTCATCTTTCATGTTTGCATGGCACCGGAGCTCCCATTCACACTCACGCCCTGGTCCCCACCCCGAGAGAGCTGCTGCTGAGGCCGTCCTTTCCCCCACACAGGGGTGCCCTTCATCCTGCGCTGCGGCAAGGCCCTGAACGAGCGCAAGGCCGAGGTGAGGCTGCAGTTCCACGATGTGGCAGGTGACATCTTCCACCAGCAGTGCAAGCGCAACGAGCTGGTGATCCGCGTGCAGCCCAATGAGGCCGTGTACACCAAGATGATGACCAAGAAGCCGGGCATGTTCTTCAACCCCGAGGAGTCGGAGCTGGACCTGACCTACGGCAACAGATACAAGGTGCCCCAGAGGACAGGCCCTGCAGGGGGGGCCTGGGCCTGGGGACTCTGCACAGTGGCCAGTGGTGGCATCAGCGGGACACCTTCTTCCTCACAGAACGTGAAGCTCCCTGATGCCTATGAGCGCCTCATACTGGACGTCTTCTGCGGGAGCCAGATGCACTTTGTGCGCAGGTGAGGCCCAGCTGTCTGCCCCTATATGCCTGTGGGCGACGGGTGGCCTTTTCCCTCCTTCCCTGTGCCAGCCTCCCAAGCCACGCCATGTCCCCTCAGTGATGAGCTCCGGGAGGCCTGGCGGATCTTCACCCCACTGCTGCACCAGATCGAGCTGGAGAAGCCCCAGCCCATCCCCTACCTTTATGGCAGGTGAGAAAAAGGTGGGGGCTGGGGGCCGAGCCCACAGGCAGGGGTGCAGGGCGAGAGCAAAGCTCCCTCACGCCTCTCCTCCACCTGTCACTCTCCAGCCGAGGCCCCACGGAGGCAGACGAGCTGATGAAGAAAGTGGGTTTCCAGTATGAGGGCACCTACAAGTGGGTGAACCCCCACAAACTCTGAGCCCTGGGCGCCCCCTCCACCCCTGCCACGGCCACCCTCCTTCCCGCCGCCCGACCCCAAGTTGGGAGGCCTCTGGGACCACTGGCCTTAGCTGCACATTCCCGGCCCCGGGCTTGGGCCACCCTGGCCTGCCCTCGCTGCTGCCATACCCGAGCCCAGCTACATTCCTCAGCAGCCAAGCACTTGAGACTCGTGCTGTGACCATGCCTGAGCCGGCCTCCTCCCCTCACTCCAGCCCGGCGGAAGGAAGGAAGGAAGGAGGAGGGCCTTCTCGGCCACTGAGGCTCACTCCTGAGTGGGGTCTGGAGGGGGAGGAAAGGGGCAAGTGCCCACGCAAGAGAACCTGCCTGTGGCCTTGCCCACCAGCCTCAGTGCCACTTGACATTCCTCATCACCAGCAACATCTCAAGCCCCCTGTATGTCCCCTGTCCCACCAACTGCACTCCGTGGCCACCGTGTACCACCTGTAGGCGGCCTCCCTGCTACAAGAAAAGCAGAAGTAGCAGCTGGGACCCCCCTGCCATTAAATCCGCAAACAGCCCCTCCTGTCCCCTCGTCATTTGCTTCCCACTCCCAAAGTCACCGGGGTGCTTCCTCTGTGGCCTTCCCACCTTGGGCTCAATTCTGATTCTGACCCCATGTCCAGCCATGACTGTGCCTGGTGTCAGCCACCTCCTGAGTCTCCCTCTACTGCACGCATGTTGTCATTGTGAGACCAGCTTCCAGGCAGAGGGCAGGAGTAACCTAGTGCCACACACTGGGCAGCTCAGCAGAGGCCAGAGTGCAAGATCAAGTGCTCCCGCCAGGGGCCCAAAGGGAGGGTCCTTCCTGCCCTCCAGCTCCTTGGGGGTCCAGGCGTCCTGGGCTGGTGGTCGCCTCACTCTATTCTGCCTCTCTCTTCATGGTGTGGCTTCTCCTCTATGTCCAGCAAGATCCTCCTTACTCAAGTAATGACATCTGCAGACCCCCCTATTTCCAAATAAGGTCACATCAGGAGATGCATTGGGGGGCCCCTGTTGAGCCCCTACCCTGCCCCCACACAGACAGTAGCCCCTGGGGGTTTCCATGTAGCATTTGTCCTGCCAGGGAGATGGCAAGACCACACACTATGGTCCCTGCACTTGTGGCCTGGGTTCTAGGAGGTGAGGCCAGCAGGGAAAAAAATGGCCAGAAAACGCCAGGGAGGAGTGTTCACTTCCTGCTCCTGTCCTCTGCACGGGGAGTGCTTCTCTGACTTTTGGGAGGAAGGAGGTTACCAAGTTCACCTGGACCCTAGATGGGGAAGGAAGGAGCTGAATGGGGGCCAGGGACAGGTCACAAGCTCTTAGGGGCTCTGTGCTCATAGGATTGGAGGCCATGCTTTAGCCACAGGGGCAGTGGGTTTGGTCCTCTGTCCTGGTGCCTGTGGCCTCCAGAAGGGGCCATAGCAAGGCCGAGAGATGGGTTGGACTGGGGGCTGACAGGGTGTGGCAACGCTAAGCGGTGTAGACTCCAGGACAGGGTGCAACACCAAAGTGAGGCCGGGCATGGTGGCTTACGCCTATAATCTCACCACTTTGGGAGGCCAAGGTGGGCAGATCACTTGATGCCAGGTGTTTGAGACCAGCCTGGCCAACATGACAAAATCCCATCTCTACAAAAAAAAATACAAAATTTAGCTGGGCGTGGTGGCAGGCGCCTGTGCTCCCAGCTACTCGGGAGGCTGAGGCAGGAAAATTGCTTGAACCTGGGAGGCAGAGGTTGCAGTAAGAGCCGAGATGGCGCCATTGCACCCCAGCCTGGGCGACAGAGCAAGACTCCGTCTCACAAAAAAAAAAAAAAGTCATGAAAGGCCAGGTGAGGAGAGTCACCTGTTCCCTCGGTTCTTATGGGAGAGGCATTTGGATCCAGGTAAGGACATTCAACTGTCACCTCAGCTCTGGCTGCCTTTGAGTCCAGGTGTGGTCACCTGAGATCTAGTTGTTTCTACTAGGGTAGAAGCCAGAGGTCCCCGATGAGGACCATCCACTGGCAGCTGAACTCATCAGGCAACTGTCCCTTCAACTCTGAGTCCCTACTTGATGGAGGCAGGAGGTCCCAGGTGATGACAGTAAACAGGCACACGAACTGGCATCTGACGATGCAGTCCTGGGTCCACAAGGGGAGAGAATGAGAGATCAGGCCAGGGCATTCCACTGTCACCTCAGTTGCGGGTGCCTACACTGAAACAGAGACATAAGCCCGAGAAAATACACAACACAAGCTGTACCCTAAACAAGAAGCCCATGAGCCCAGATCCACCCTGGGCCATTCCACAGGGTGACTCACATGGCCTCCCTGACCCCTGCCAACCAGTTCAAGACTGTAGCCCTGTTTTCCACCCTTCTCTCTCTGCCTGTAATGCCAAAGAATCAATTTGCTTTTTCTTTTTTTTCTTTTTTCTTTTTTTTTTTTTTTTTTTTTTTGCAACAGAGTCTTATTCTGTTTCCCAAGCTGGAGTGCAGTGGCGCAATCTCGGCTCACTGCAACCTCCGCCTCCCGGGTTCAAGCTATTCTCCTGCCTCAGCCTCCCAGGTAGCTGGGATTACAAGCACCTGCCACCATGCCCAGCTAATATTTGTATTTTTAGTAGAGACAGGGTTTCACCATGTTGGTCAGGCTGCTCTCTATCTCTTGACCTCCTGATCCACCTGCCTCAGCTTCCCAAAGTGCTGGCATTACAGGCAGGACCCACCATGCCCGGCCACAATTTACCCTTAGGTGCACTCTGGTGCGTCTTCAGAGGCCCTGGATCAGTGTGTCATCTCTCAAGGGTTCACCCCATGCGGGAGTGGGCAGGAGCTGGAAAGGGCCCTCCTGCCGGACTCCTGACACTCACAGTGCACTCAGAGCTTCACCTCCCACCTGAAGGGGTCTTCAGGTTGACCTGGGCAGTGGTGGCTGTTGCATTGTCTGCACTGAGGAGCAGAAAAGGAGAAGGAGAGGCACAAATGGGGCAGGGCTTCTTCAGTCTTTCTTATTTTCTTTTTTTTTTAAAGACAGGATTTCACCATGTTGGCCAGGCTGGTCTTGAACTCCTAACCTCAGGTGATCTGCCTGCCTCGGCCTCCCAAAGTGTTGGGATTACAGGCGTGAGCCACCGCGCCCGGCCAATCTTTCTTATTTTCTAGGCTCACCACCGCCCTTTCCCCATGAGAAGCACCCGGAAGGGATTGTCCTTCCTGTACTGCAGGAGAAGCTAAGAAACTCAGCTCTGAGGCACGACCAGACTAGCCCAGGACCACATCCAGACACACAGGGCCAAAGCTGGGGTCCCTGAGAAGGTCTCTTACCTCCTAGAGCTTCAGTGCTTGTCCCTGCTAGAACACTTCAGGGAAGCTTTGAGCAAAGAAGAAGCAGACTGAACTCTGGCTTTCTGTAAGGACGGTGAGAATCTACGGTTGGGCACAGTGGCTCATGAGAGGCCGAAGTTGCAGGTTGCTAGAGCCCAGGAGTTGGAGACCAGCAGGGCAATATGGCAAAACCCTGTCTCTACAATAATACAAAAATCACCGGGGCATGTTGGCGCACGCCTGTAGTCCCAGCTATTCAGGAAACTGAGGTGGGAAGATCACTTGAGCCCGGGAGGCAGAGTGAGCCATGCAGGGAGCCATGATCACACCATTGCACTCCAGCCTGGGCCACACGGCAAGACCCTGTCTCAAATATATATAACTGCAAGGCCAATTTTTCAGCGAAAACTAAGACCCCATGATATAAATAAACCTCCAAGTTGCCTTTTACCTGAGACCTTTGCCCACCTGAACTTTTCCTTGACAACTTTATAAAGCGAAGGGGGCAGACGGGGTGCGGTGGCTCAGGTCTGTAATTCCAGCACTTTGGGAGGCTGAAGTGGGCGGATCACCTGAGGTCAGGAAGTTGAGACTAGCCTGACCAACATGGAGAAACCCTGTCTCTACTAAAAATACAAAAATTAAATGAGCGTGGCAGTACATGCCTGTAATCCCAGCTACTTGGGAAGTGAGGCAGGAGAATCGCTTGAACCTGGGAGATGGAGTTTGCAGCGAGCTGAAATCATGCCATTGCACTCCAACCTGGGCAACAAGAGCGAAACTCCTTCTCAAAAAAAAAAAAAAAAAAAGCGACAGAAATCAAATCTTTTTTTTTTTCTTTTTTTTTTAATACCCATTGCTCCCTCGTAACAGAAATCAATTCTTGAGGCCCCCAACTTGCTGCCCCATTATACTGAAAGTAAACACAGAATTGCCAATGAGCCAGGGTTCAAATTCCCCAGGGTTGACCATGGAACCTTAAGCCCTTCACTTGGTGTAAGGGGGTCCTGGATGGGCAGTTTCCCAATGCAGATGGCTCTGCCAGGCTGGCAGAACCCAGTACAAACCGTCTCAGGATAGAGTCCTTCCTCCTCCAAGTACTTTTTAAGGCATCAGGGTGAGTACATGATCAGAGATAACCCGGGTGTACCAGTAAGCAACATTGCAAGAGAAACAACAAGCAATAGCGACAGATCCGTGCAGTCTTCAGACATCATAAAACAACCGTACTTACCAGATCTAGCGAAATAATAAGTCATGATGGGACAGCAGCAAAGAACAGGAAACTGTACAAAGTGATGTCGCCAACTTATTCTGCCTGGTAAAACAAACCCAATAGAATATCTGAAAATGAAAAGTACCAGCATCCAGGCTGGATGCGGTGGCTCATGCCTGTAATCTCAGCACTTTGGGAGGGATCAAGTAGATGGATTGCTTGAACCCAGGAGTTTGAGGCCAGCCTGGGCAACAGGGCAAGACCCCATGACTACAGAAAATAGAAAAATTAGCCAGGTGTGGTGGCAAGCACCTGTAGTCCCATCTCCTCAGGAGGCTGAGGTGGGAGGATAGCTTGAGCCCAGGAGGCAGAGGTTGCAGTGAGCCAAGATCGAGCCACTACACTCCAGCCTGAGTGACACAATGAGACCCTGTCTCAAAAAAAATGTAAAATATGAGCTTGTAAGTTTAAAAGTAGATGGACTGGTTTAGTGGCAAATTACGAAACCTCAAAGAGAGAATGCGGGAACCAAAAACTGGCTCAAAGGAACGTACTCAGAATACAACCCAGAGAGACAAGTTCACGGAAGACACTGAAGACAGAGGAAGAAGCCGCAAGGAGAATGAGAAGGTGCATTTAACTGGTTTCACAGAAAGAGAAGAGAGAAAGAGACAGAGGCAAAACTTGAAAATATAATGGTTGCTGGCTAGGCGTTGTGGCTTACACCTCTAATCCCAGCACTTTGGGAGGCAAAGTCAGGAGGATCACTTGAGGTCAGGAGTTCGAGACCAGCCTGGCCAACATGGTGAAACCCCATCTCTACTAAAAATACAAAAATTAGCTGGGTGTGGTGGCACAAGCCTATAATCCCAGCTACTCAGGAGGCTGAGGTAGGAGAATCACTTGAACCTGGGAGGCAGAGGTTGTAGTGAGCTGAGATCACACCGCTGCACTCTAGGCTGGGCAACAGAGCAAGACTCCGTCTCAAAAAAATAAATAAATAAGATATACTGGT